ATGGTGTAGATGGTAATAAGGTCACTAATAATCTAGTTTCCAGCTTTTGTTAACTATGGGATTTTGTGCATCATCTTACCTGCTCAAATGGACTCTTGGTCTTGATGCCTTTCCCTCCCACAAAGATCCAGTTATCTCGAAAGCCCAGATTATTAATAGCTGAGCTGCCAAGATCAGCAATTAACTTCCTGGCTTCATCATTGAGTCTATATAACAAAGAAGACATATTATTTCATGACCATCCCTGCAACTAGAAACAGCAAACATATTTATTGATCACGCGAGCTGAAATGCTCTTACTTTGTTGCGGAATCATCAAATGAGGCCATCATCACAACGGTCCCATCTTCAATTTCATTCAGGAATTTAATCAAGGGAGCCACGTCTATGCAAAGTGACACACGGTTAACAAACTGTATGAACTGGATTTGTAAATGTCTACAAAAAAAAAAAAAGGTTCTCTAGTATACTCACCTCCAGCCCACATATCAAAATATTCTGTTTTGACAACTTCCCCTGTCCTCCCTATGGAAAAACAAACAAACAAAAATACAGTTTTTCAGAATTAGGTTTGTAACTCTTGGAATTAAAAGTGGAGTACTCGAGTGGATAATGTCACCATTAACCAGGGCGATGTTGATTCCTCTTCCCACGTTGTTCTTCACGCCGCTCATTACTCTACAACCAATAATATGAAAGGGGGAGAACATATGGATACATTTAAATATAAAAGCATATAAACTTAAGGAAATGGGTGATTTATAGAAGGATGGCACTTCATAACATGTTTAACATACTATAATGTAGATTTCCAGACAGCCCAGAATAATCAGACAACACTTTCTTTCTTATAACACACTGTCTCACATCCTACTTACACTTTGTCTTCCAGGCAGATTCTGGGCCCGACCACACTGGCTGCACCACTTGCCATCTTGAAGGCAAAATGTCCAGCTGAACATGCCTTGGACAGCCCACATTTATACCTGACAGGCTTCGTTGCTGAGAACACAAAATTTGCCCAAACAGCACAGTATCAGGTCACAGGCAGTCCAATTACATTGTTTAAGGCTTTTCACAAACAGGCACAAATACGGGTGATCAAGGAATGGTACAGCTTGAACTCATCTAAAGGGGTCTATTTGCACACTAATGCAATAGCTAAGCTTAAAACACACAGTTAAACTCAATATCTAGATGTTTTCAAAAGGATTTAGCTACATTACAATCTGAGACAAGCTCCTCATTACCATTTTTGTTCTGTCTGTTACAGAGATAGATAAAAAAAAGACAGAGGCATATCAAAACACATGAGTAATAGAGAATAAAAAGAAAAAAGTAAACAATTGAGAACACTTACAAAGGACACCTGCTGGCACAGATCTTGCTGAAAAGCAAAAAAGGAGATGTAAATGTAAGTAGACTTTATAATATCTAATATATTTATTATTAGGAATATAAATAAGATTTTTATTATATTTTTATAAAAGTTTATCCAAGTAGCAACAATTAATACAGATAAGTAATAAGTGTGCAACATTTCTTTATGTCAAGATAAACTAGAGGCATAAAAAAAAAATTACAACCATCAGTTATAGGAGTGCAGAGGATACTTTCAATGTGGAGGAATAGCAGCTCTACTCTGAGCTCCTCCTGGATGGCCAAACTCGTCACCCCATCTCTAAGGGAGAGGCCAGCCACCCGTCGGAGAAAGCTCATTTTTGCGGCTTGAATTCACAAGCTTGTTCATTTGGTTACTACCCAAAGCTCATGAACTTAAGTGAGGTAAGGACGTAGATCGGCTATTAAATGGAGAGCTTCGCATATACGCTCAGCTCTCTCTTCACCGCAACAGACTGGTACAGCACCAGTCTGTCTATTGATCTCCCGCTCTCCTCTCACTTGTAAACAAGGGCACTCCACCCTTTTCCAGCTCAGGACCATGGCCTCAGGTTTTCCACCTAGAAATTCTGTCCATAAAAATCATGAACAGAATCTGTGACTTAGGGCAGCCCTGGCAGCCACCGGGAACAAGTCCAACTTTTTGCTGGCTTAGTGGACCAAGCTCTTGCAGCGGTTGTATACGGATCAAATGGCCCGTAGCAATGGGCCAGACAACCCATGCTCCCAAAGCATCTCTCACAGGATACTCCAAGAAACATGGTCGAATCCCTTCTCCAAGTCAACAAAACATATGCAGACTTGTTGGGCAAACTCCCACGCACACCCTTAAGTAACCTTGAGAGGGTAAAAAGCTGCATTCTTTAAAAATTTCTACACTTTCAAAACATGATAATGAACTCTAAGTTCACAAAAGAAATGAATGTTTCATCTTCTTCTAAAACTGTGCCAGACAGGCAGATAACCCTCCTGGAGGCAGGAAAGAAGAGAAGGCCCTATGAGATAAAATACTGGCTGGCGGCTCACAACTGACTTTAATCGATTAAAATGAATAATTTATTAATAATATATGTAGCAAACAATACATATACATTGCATTACAACGCATTATATCATGAACTGAAACCTGTGACTGACATTTTTTGTCTTTTTCCTGTATATAAATAAAGATTATTTAAAAGCCATAAAGTGATGACGCAATAAATAAAGAAATAAATTAACCAAGATGCAGGACATGCCTGACTTAAAATGTCCCTGCAGACAGAAAGTAAACAAAGTAAATGACTGTCTTGTTTCCTTTACGGATGATTATCTTCCACCTACACTGCTGTTCAATCCAGTCTTACAGGAAAGGTTACTCACAAATCACATTAGCCAGTTTAAAATCCGTATTAATCTCGAATAGCTGAAAAGCCAGGAAGACAGCCAGTAGGAATGCAATGACCAACACTGTCAACTTGATAATTCCTGCGAAGAGAGGGAAAACGGAGAGGTGCGGTTAATCAGCCATCCGAATCACTGATGCGAAATGGTTTTAGATAGCAAACATGTTTGTTTAAATATTTATGGTAAATATATCTGACTTACCAGTAGCCCTAATCATCTTTGCGACTCTCCAGAATATTTTACAAACAGCCGACAACCTGTAATATCAAATAAAAGTGTAGGTGTCTGTATGTGTACATCAGTGACTGTTTTCTACAGTCAATGGTGTATATCTGCGTGGCTTTATAGGGTGGTCTAAAGGGGGAAGTTAGCTTGTGCTGTGCGTTATTTATAGGAGTGTCTAGCGCCGAAACACAGTGACCTTGCTCTTTTTCTAATAACTAGTTATTGCGACCGAATTAACGAACAATGTAACGTATGTAAGCACGTAATGCATTTTTAAAGCTATATTTTGAAAAGCTAACTAGCTTTTAACCCCGTGGATAACTTCTTCGTCTTTGACAGGTTTTACTCACTGACACTGGAATGACTGCATCTCAGCCTCTACAAAAGACAAATACGTAGTTGAGCTTTGAGATAAATGTTCACGACTTTCTCACCTGTTTACGTAGCAAAATACCAGTGGACTCTCCGGTGTGGTTCCTTTAGGACAGGCTGACTAACTTATGATGATGGCGCTGATACGCGTCATGACAGCTGGACTGTGGAGGAGGAGCAAACCGTGAAAAAGAGGCGCCACTCCGCCGGAAAAAGGAAAGACGAACCGGAAATAAAGCGCCTGGACAGTACAAAAAGGAGCAGCTTCGTAATTATTAAGGTAATTATATA